AATTGGGATGGGAGTGTCAGAGACAGTGCGATTGGCACAGGACAGAGCGGAGTTTAGGGCTGTTGTACATAGGGTCGCTATGAGTCGCAACGGCACATAACAACAACACAACAACAAGTGTCTCCAGGCACTAGCTAAAAATCCTGCATGAGGCTTGGGGACTGGAGTCTCCTTCCACTCTGGAACTCGGCTGGTAAACTGTTGCCTACAACTCAATGGCACTTAACAACAGCAGCAACATAGAGAGAGATCAGTTAGCCTAGTGGACAGAAAGTCAAGCTGCCAAGCCAAAGGTAGGTGGCCTTCAGGCTTGCCTTTAATTGTTTTTGGTGAAACACTCTTCTAGGTCGTATAACCCTGGTATGTCTACTGTACAGAGGTAACCTGTGGTTGCTGTGAAGCCAAACACTGTGACACTGATGAGTCAAATGCGAGAATGGATACCCATGGTGGACAGTGTTTGGTGAAGCTCCCCGATGAAAACAAGCTTGGAAGCAGGAGTGGCATCCACTTCTGCAACAGCTTGCCTCTGGAAACCCTATGAACCTGGAGAAAGGACTAAAATTATATAGGTGTCCAGGTCTTTCATTCATAGGGTCACTATGAGTTGCCTACAACTCGACGGCACTTAACACCACAAAAACAACAGTGTCTCCACAGATGAAATAGATTCTCTAAGTTTGAGAGAAAGAATAAAACAGTCTGTCCCTAAAATGTGAAGAGAGCCTAATTTCACTTTGGGGCCATGGATATAGAGGGTTGTGAAGACAATGACCCAAGTTATCATCAGCTAGCTGAAATAATGTTTAGATTAGGTTTTAATCAGTACAGTGCTTAAGATATATCCAAAGATATTCTGACAAAAATTTGAGAGTGTTTAGTTAAACCTTTAATATACCTGTGTTAATGTCCAAATAAACAAAGATTATCTGAAGATATAAATAAATACTAAGGTATGACTTTGAAAACGCAACAGTAAATTTCAAGTAAAGGGTAAAAAACCTAGCATAGTAGTATGGGAAGCCAAATTTCATACTGAATATTTATAATAAACCAAATGCTGTATCAGGATGTGAGGGAGGCGGATACAAGCTGGAATTCATACTGAAGCACTAAGGCAATCCTTAAATGTTCACAGGGGTAGGCACCAAGGCAGACCTTAAGCATTTACAGGATTCTTGTATTTGCTAACCCCTCTCTCCTGAGTTAAGCATAAGGTTTTCAATAGAAAGAGCTTAGCTTCATTTGTATCAAATTCTCTTTGTGATTTGATCCCTGGAAATTTTCAATAAAGACACAGGGAAACAGAGATCAGCCCTTCAGTTGTTTGAGAATTGTTCGCCTCCTGCTTTACCTTTTTTCACTTACATTCTTGGTGTTCTGTCTCGTTATTAATATTTATTACTATACTCTGCCTTCAGTCTGCAACAAACTACCACTAATCAAAATCTCCAGACTTATTCCATTTCTTACCTAGACTCAGACTTCCTATCCTAGCTAAACATCAAATGAGGAACTACTGGGTAACACTCCTTTCTCTTTTTTCTTAATTGAGAAAGTTATCTGAATACAAGATGCTAGTAGAAGAAACAATGTGTAGGTGGAAGGGCACATGGGAGCTCTGTACAATTTTTCTGTAAACTGGGTACTACTCTAAAAATTAAATTTGGTTTTAAAATAGTTATCTTGAGTAAACAGACAAAAACTCCACAGCACCCAATATTCCTTTTATCCATTTGTCATTTGTTAAACATAAAACCACCATTAAAGGAAAAAAGCCTCTAATGACATTTTGTTAAGTACAAACAATATATTTTATTTTATCCCTGAAAACAAAAACAAAGAAATCCACAATTAATAACAGACTGAACAACTATTCCAAATTTCACTTGGCAATAGTATACACTTAATTTCTTCACATAATGGTAGAATACAGATGAATAAGTTTGGAAAATTATCTTTCAATAAAACAATATTTTTTTCATATTCATATATTTTCATAGTTTAATAAACAATATCTAAAACTAAATTCAATATAGTCTAAATCTAAAAGCTAGCTGCACTTAAGCAGTTATTATGTAGAATAAATACCATGAGATATAGGGCACCATTATGGTCATTAGATGTGCTATACGGGCCATTTAAATAAAAGTATTCTTTATATTAGAATTACCCAAGATTAGGATCTCTTGTGCTATATACAATAGCTTGTTTTCCTGAAAAGATATTTTGTCTTCATAATTTATATTATATTTGAAATGTTCTTAATTATTTTAAATGACTTATATAAAATCAATCTCTAATATATCTGCTATATAAATACAAAATTTCATTAAGTGGGATATTCTAATATAATGTTAACATAGTCCAAGCAATTTAATGTAGCACAAATACCATTACTATATACAACTGGCTAAAGTCCTCAAGAGTTCCAGTCTCTCAGATATATCTGTTCATCTCCCTCCAACACAATGAAATAAAAATTACCCAAATATGAAGGTAATGTGCTTTCCTTATAGGACAAAGGATGAAACTTTAAATTAAAATATGTGAAAAATTATGATTTAGTACGCATTTTTAAACTCATAAAAATATCTTTAATGCCTTAAAACATATGTTAGAAAGTGTTAAGAGATTAGAGATAATTATTTTAACGTTAAATTGCCCCAATTTTAGAATAGGGTACAGTCAGCAGGTGCTATCCATTTTCAAGATTAAACTCTTATAAAGGTGATTTTTTAAAAAATATATATAACAATTAACCATCAGTTATTCTGAAAGATAGTGCAAATGAAAACATTCTTTGGGTCATAATTTAAAAATAGTATTTTCAACATTATACTTCCTTTCTTTGCTCATAATCTGAGTAACAAAATATAGCAGTGGAAGTAAGCACTGATAACATTAGTCTAACAGTAAAACCTATCCAGAACAAAGAACAGAATGATTCCATGACAATATTCTCTACTTGTCTTAAACACAAGTTTATTTTAAATAAATATAGGAATGAATCCATGTCTTTCAGTGTTTTTCAGTTTGAACTTTAACATACAATATTTATACAAAGATGACCATTTATCACCATGTTACCAAATTCTCTGTAAAGATATAATACATCATTAAACATACTTTTCTGAAAGCACACTAATAATTTTTTAAATTCTATATACAGAATTAAGAGTTCCTTGAATCCAGCAAACTCCTTGAAAATGCATAGAGCTGATATTGTAAATTATTACTCTGCCTTCTAGCCAGTGATTAAAAGCTTTTCTGCCACAGACTATAATCCATGGTGGATGCAGCAGCGCTAGGTGATCTTCATCTGCTATCTAATGCTGCCTGATGCATTTATCCTTTTATTTGTGGTTACTGGCACCAAATTCCCACTAGTACCATTGGTAGTATTGGCTGTTGAACCATTCACAACAATATAGTTGATTTTGCTCTCCAGCTTCACCAAGCGTTGCAAGATGTCATCCAAAAGGACAGCAATCGTTCTTTTCAGATCCGCTAAGGGGGAAAATCCGAGTAAATCATATTAGATATGATACATCAGAGCACTTATTTTTTTTCTTATATATTTTGAGAAGGAAGAGTATCAATTATTGGGTCATCAGAGAGAAAACATACTAGAGAAAATTAATGCCCTCCTCTCACAAATGGCAAAACCTTATTTTTTATTTGTTATTATTGTGTACTGTTGAGTCAGAACTGATTCCTGGTTTACACGCCAGCAGGTTTTCAGAGGTGGAGAATCTCCTAGGACAAGACTGCCCATCATTTTCCTGCACAGCAGCTGGTGGGTTAGAACAGTGTACCTTTGTATTGGCAGTGCAACTCCTTAGCACTAAGCCATTAGAGCTGCTGAAACCTAATTCTTCCAATCAGTTATACTCCATTGAGAGCTTCCTAAAAGTACTTTAGAGCTGTAAATATGGGTGGAGGCACAGATACAATTTTTCTAGAGCTAAATAAACTATTTCATATTTTATTCAATAGACCAGTCCCTCTGTAAGGAATTTCACTATGAGTTTTTTAAGCAAAGATGACAGTGGAAACTAAGTAGGTAAGACTGTGAGTGAGACTAAGTAAGATATTCAATAAATCAGAGAATCAAGAAACCTAGGACTTTGACCACCTGAAACCGTAAGGGTTCAAGAAAGTACTAGAAGCTTGGTTAGTACAGCGGGCATACTGGCAGTACTTCTCACATAAATTTCTTCCAAGAAAATACTGGGGGAAATCCTAACTCCTGACATCTTTGGAAGGAGCCTTATTAGATGCAGTGGTTAAATCTTGGCTGCCAACTCTGCAGTTTGGATGCAGCAGACTTCTCCAAGAGAGAAAGATGTGTCAGTCTGCTCCCACAGCAACAGAGACTGCTGTTGTTGTTGTTGTTGTTGTTAGGTGCTATCAAGTTGAGTATGATGCATAGTGATCCTATGAACAACAGATGTGAACCCTGTCCTGTCCTGCGCCATCCTCACACTTCCTGACACACCAGAGCCCACTGCAGCAGTTACCATATCAATCCATGTGGTTGAGGATCATCTTCTCCTTCACCAACCATGTCCCTTTCCAAGGAATAACCCCTCCTACTAACATGACCAAGATCATTCTGGCTGCACTTTTTCTAAGACATTTATTTTTTTCTTTTGAATATCCAGGATATTCAGAACTGTTCTCCAACACCCCAGCTCAAAAGCATCAATTCTTCTGTCATCCTTATTCCCTGTCTAGCCCTCAGATGCATAGCAAGTGATCAGAAACACCATGGCTTGAATCCAATGCACTTTATCCTCAATAAAGATTACAAACTACATGGGGCTGTTCTAACCCTGTCCTATAGGACTGCTGAGTTAGAATCAACTCATAGCAACTGTTTCATTTTTCTCTTTTTAGTATGCTTGGGATGTTAAAGAGTTTTGACAGGAGTTACCTAGAAATTAGTTCCTTTCTCTTTTGATTTTTTTTCTTTCTTTTTCCAGATTTCCCAAAGCTACTTGGCACCCACTACATTCGGTAGAAAGCACTGCTGGCTTACTGGTAAGGAGTTGTGCTGTCAACACAAAGACATACAGTTCAAACTCGCCAGGTGATCCACAGGAGCCATATGGGCAATTTCCTCCGATGCAATTTACTGTCTCTGAAAAATGTCTCCAGAGTCAGCTCTGAGTTAGTTCCAACTCCATGGTACATAACAAGATGGTTACTGGTAACTAGTATTGTTCTATTTGTTGATCCTAACAAAAATGTTTCCTAAGTTCTAATTTACAATCATCAGAAGAAAATCTGCCTAACACCAATTTATAACAACTTGGTGCTGGTTCTATTAATATCTGAATGGAATAGTACTGAGGGTCTGATAGTATTATAGGATGACCATAAAGGGCTTATAAAAACCAAAATAAAACAAAAATGAACGTGATATGAAGTGAGGAGAGAAACTGCTTAGAGGAAGTTGTCATAGAAAAATTAGACATCTCAAGCAATTTCACTTCTGACATCTGGCATATATATGCTTTTTAAAAAAATCTCACAGGTTTGAAAGCATTCAAAAAAATGACTGAAGAAGGGAGCCATTTTTAAAATCAAAACTTTTCATTCAAAAGTTAAAATAGTACAACTTGATAAACAGGAGAGAATTATCGATTTTTAAATCCTTCAGTAAGCCTAAAAAATAAATTACTAAATCTCCATTTGAGCTCTGGAAGTCATCTTCACAATATTTGAAGCAGAAACCACCAAGGAAGGAAGGAGAACACAGACACCAGCGCCCTACTATGTGTGAATATTCTGAGATAACAGTATCATTAGTTATCACGGGCATGCAAAATATTGCCGAAAGTCATACAAAAACTGCTGGAACAGAACACTGACAAGGAACTGCTCTCAAATTGGGTTTAGCAGAGGCTATGGCACCAAGGATATCACCGCTGATGTAAGATGGATCCTAGCTGAAAGCAAATCAAATCAGAAGAATGTTTTATTGATTATGTAAAGGCACTTGACTGTATGAATCATAATAAAATATGGATAACATTGAGAAGAACAGGAATCCCAAAACACTTAGTTATGCTCATATAACATCTATACCTAAACCAAGAAGCTATTGTTCAAATGGAACAAAGGAACACGGCATGGTTTAAAATCAGGAAGAGCGTGCATCAGGGTTTTATAATCATCTATATCTATTCTAAAGTACTCAGGAGCAACAGTGTCTCTCTGGAGACTAAGGTGCGCCTGATACAGGCCATGGTATTTGCAATCGCTTGTTATGCATCAGAG